GAATACTTACGGCAGCCTGGACCAACCTGGTGCCCTCTATGTGTATCTGCAGGCCACCTTGAAACTATTTGTGTTGTAGAGCGGCACTCTTTTTTAAAAAAATAAAACATTTTGGACTACAGCTCCCAACAGTCCCAATCAGCACCTATTGACAGGGGCTGATGGGAGTTGTAGTTCAAAACATATGGAGGACACCAGGTTGGCCAAGGCTGACTTATGGTGTCAATTACCTTTCTGTGTGATTATTTTCAAATACAGCAAATATATTTGGTCCACATGCACACACAGACGTGCGCACACATATTGATTTAATGCTGGAATGGGAAACCTGGATGTTAGCATGTCCAAGAGTCAGAAATAGTTGGGCTGCCAACAATGCCTGGAAGGCCACAAGTTCCTCAGTCCTGGCCTAATGGAACAGTACTTTTGGGCTGCATTTGGGTTTATGCTAGGGTTGCCATATTCTGAAAAGTGAAAAACATCTCCTCCCAAAAGCAAAGTTTTTGGCCTTTCTTAAATTTTAATTTTTTATTATTATTATTATCTCCCCCTTTGTCATATGTCCGGGTTTCCCCAGACATTATTTCCTCCCAATTTGCTGAAAATCTGCCTAGATGCCATTTTCCATCCGAATTCCCTGACGTGTCCAGGAAAACCCGGACATATGGCAGCCCTTAGCTTGTGCACATTTCCCTGGGAGTAGACACATGTTCTAATTCTGGCATGCATAGAATTACACTGTTGTTTTCCCCCCATATATAATCACTGCCTCCTCTCTCTCTGATTTGTGATATATTTGGTGCTTGACGTCCCCATCCTTCTTGAAGCACCAGGCTGGCTGTCAAAATGTAAGATTTATTGAGTCACAAGTTGTAAGATTGGTCACAAGTTGTGAGAACCTGATTTATGGCACCTGAATACTTACTGAGACACGGGTTGCTAAATTGCAACCCATAAGCCCTGTTGGATCAAATCAAAGGCCTATCTAATCCAGCATTCTATTCCCATGACACTCTCCACACAGATGATTCCTAGCAGCTGTTATCACTTCCTATAAAACTGGAAGTAATATGTAGCCATCATGACTAGTAGCTATTGATCACTTTATGCTCCATGAACTTGTTTTTCCCCTCCTATTACAGCCGTCCTTATAGGTGGTTATCGCTACATTTTATTGGTAGCAAATCCCATAGTTTAACTATGGGCTGAGTTAAGAAGTACTTCCTTCTGCCTGTCCCGAATCTCTCACCATTCACTTTCTGTGGCTGAACCCAGGTTCTGGTGTTGTGAGAAAGAAAGGTGGAAGGAAACACTTCTGTATATCCACTTCCTTCACACAATATACAGACTTTTGCAGCTCTATCATGTCTTCCCCTTGCCTGCTATTTTTCTAGACTGAAAAAACCCCAAACCCAAAGAACCATCCTGTCTCTCTAACATCCTCGTAGCCATGCAGGTTGCAACATGACTTTTCTACCACTCATCTTCCACACCTGTTAGCTAGAGCCACCAGGAATCCAATTTCATCTTATACTAGATCAAGGTGGGTGTTGGCAGTGATAAAGCTGAGACCACTGATGTACCCAGAACGACAGATTGCATGCACTAGTGTGATGCTGGTGAAAACAGCAACCTCCATATGGAATTCTCCCTCTCATTTCTGCCACAAGGCAAGGTGATGTCTCTACTTTTTAAGATGCTGTCTAGGTTTGTCATTGCTTTTCTCCCCTGCTTCTTGGGAGAAAAGCAATGACAAACCTAGACAGCATCTTAAAAAGTAGAGACATCACCTTGCCAACAAAGGTCCGTATAGTAAAAGCTATGGTTTTCCCAGTAGTGATGTATGGAAGTGAAAGCTGGACCATAAAGAAGGCTGATCACCGAAGAATTGATGCTTTTGAATTATGGTGCTGGAGGAGACCCTTGAGAGTCCCATGGACTGCAAGAAGATCAAACCTATCCATTCTTAATAATTTGGCCACCTCATGAGACGAGAAGACTCCCTGGAAAAGACCCTGATGTTGGGAAAGATTGAGGGCACAAGGAGAAGGGGACGACAGAGGACGAGATGGCTGGACAGTGTTCTCGAAGCTACTAACATGAGTCTGACCAAACTGCGGGAGGCAGTGGAAGACAGGAGTGCCTGGCGTGCTCTGGCCCATGGGGTCACGGTCGGACACAACTAAACGACTAAGCAACAACATTCTGCCACACCTCTCCATGACACAGCTTCACCATCATGTGAGTTTCCTCATCCACATTAGTTGGGCAGGGAAATAGACAAAGTGAGGCCATCAGATATTATGTGTTGACTACATGTTTGGGGCTGACGTCAACACGAAGGGGCCATTTTTAGCAGTAATGTTTAGGGATGGGGGAACTTATGACCACCAGATGTTATTGGACTACAACGCCTGTTATCCCTAACCATTGGCCATGCTTCATGAGGCTGATGGGAGTTGGAGTCCAACAGCATATGAGGACCAACAGTTTCCCATTCCTGGTCTAACCTATGACATCTTTCACAGCTGCGGGGATGTTGAACAGATAGACGGACCCCTGTTGTGACTTCCCAGGTCAATAGGAAAGGGGTCTTTGAAGCTGGCATGTAAAAAAAAAACCACACAATAATTCTTAGGTGGTGCACAACACCAAACCACAACGACATCACAGTTATCTTGCTCACTATGAAAATGCCTTATTTACTTATGGAAAAGCAAATATATCTATTTTCTTTTTTTCAAATATTCAAGACCATGCCAGCATGCCATGACTAATGATAAGTGCATATGTTTTTCATGGATCAAGGCCTAATAATCTATCCAGGGCCTTCAAATTAGGGACTGGAAATATAGTGTACATTGCAAAGTTTTTGTACATATTCTTAGCAATGACTTTAAATAAATAAATAAATAAATACACACTGATTTGCAGAAATTTGTTTAAGCATAAAAAACATTTTTATAAAAAAAAAAGGGGGGGGGAGAAGTATCTTGAATATTTATTTTGCCGGCCACAATATGCATCTTAAAACTACCCTTCCAAGCAAATTTGCTAATCAGGCTATTAAGGGAAAGAAGCATATCTTGAAATATTAAAATTGTGTCTGGCAATGACACATTTTTTGCTATTAAAACATGTATAATGACTCTTAGATTGAGCTTGCCAGATATGTTTAATACATAACTTAAATTGCTAATCCTCAGAATAGGAGCAGAAGAAATTCAGAACTGCAGAGGGCAGGAGAAAAATGCAGCACAGCAGAATTTGTAAGAACATTTTCCAATTTTATTTACCTGGAAATTGGAAGTGCATTTTAGTCTTGCATGCTACACTTCATACACTTTCTTCAGATTCGTGATCCACCTCTTTAATGAGAGTATTTTACACACACACACAAATATATACATATATGCAAAGCGATGATAATTTAGCATTTTAAAAGTTTTCCCCAACCATTCAGTTATATACCCCAAACCAAATATCCACTGCAAATACACCCTCCTAGTGACTGCATGCATTGAATTAATTGTATACTTAGAATCAGAAATCAGAAATGGGCACTTCTTTTCTATGCACATTTACTTGGAAGTAAGTGTCATAGACAAAGTGGTTTTTCCTTCTAGGACTGGTCTGTATATGTTTGATATATTTTCCCAAGGGAACAATTTTTAAAAATTGTTTCAAACTGAATTCCATCAATTGTAAAAAAGAAACCGTATAGTTTTTGAGCAAATAAATGTAATGTTTTTATGTTAACAACATTGACAGGGGGGGGGGAAATGGGTGTCACTTTTAAAAACCCAGCCTAAAGTTTGTTAGGAAATAGCAATTTATTAAGAATTATGATATTGTTAAAAGTCTAATACAATTATGTAAGAGTATTTGAAATGGCTACTTCTAGGCATTTCTAAAACACTACCTTGGTTGTGATCCTAAATTCAGTTGGAATTAATGGAATCTTACTTCCAGGTACATATTTTCTAAGAATGGGGTGTTTGTCGAAAATTATCCATTTTAGCTACACCAGCACATATTTCTAAAATTATATGGGGTGAGAATCTCTGAATCTGTAAATATTGTGTTGTCCATGGGCATATGTCTACCCATTCAATGTCATTTTTCACATCTGCTTGAATAGAAATATTAAAATATAGGTAGCGTCACAGGGCTGAGCTTATACTTGGAATTACATCTAAGCAGTAATAGCCTATATTTATATATCAGCTAGGTGCATCACTGATAGCAACATCTTCAACATTCTGATACATTTGGAAATATATTTTTCCTCCTTTTCTGGGTAAATTAATACTGGATAAAAAGCACATACCTCAAGGTAATTTTTTTTCTCTTTCTTGAATAAATATATATATTTTTGTAATAAAAGTTCCTTTATTGCAAATTCTCTCTCTTCAGATTATGCTTTTTTTACAAGTTGCAAATACAGTGTACTGTATTGTGATACTTCCACTTGTAGTGTTCTTTACTGCAAACTTGTGATTAGTATTTGGTGTGTTACATTTTGGTGGTGTTAGTCATTTATTTGACTGCAGTTGTTAGTAAAAGGTGCATCTCCATGTTGTTTGTTTTTTTAATGAAACAAAATACAAACAAAAACCTTCCACAATAACTGATATTTAATGCTTCTGAGCACTGCTGTAAATTTTAAAATAGAACAGATCGGTTAAATAGTTAAAGCATGAAAGAAAGTGCTAGCAATATGGACAGATATGAAATGTTAGTAACTCAATAAAGAGACTCACACCATTCTACGGGCATGTTTTCAAAAACACCAAATTATCATTTGGAGAGCTCACCTTTTGCTAAAAGGAGTGGAAAGCTGCATAAAACATGGGGCATCTGAAATATCTCTGAATGCAAATGCTAAATTGGTTTTAAACGGATGTATGTTTTAACTCGTCTGCACCATTTCAAATAATTCTTTATGTAGCAAAACAGAATCCATTATTCACACATGAAAAAGAGAGTGTTAAGCCTACCTTTTAAAAAAATTGACTGGTAGGGTTACAAGTCGCTGCCGCAGTTCTCTTATGCAAAGACATCAGCTTCTCTGCTTGTTTGTTGCCAAAAGGGGGGGGGGAGGATGGGGAGGGGGGAAGAGAATAATTATTTTGTGTCTGAGCAAAAAGAAGAAGAAGAAAAACCACTCTTTGATAACAGCAGATTCTCCTGTGCATTAGCAAGGCTGTTGTTCCCACTTCCTGAAGATTATCCACCTTTTTTTCCTAAGGCATTTTGCTCAAGAGAAATAAATGGGGAGAAAACCCAGGACAGATCAACTTGCAACCCCAAGTCAATGGAACACTTTTGACTGATGTCTGCTGAGCAGAATTAGACCCCCCAATCCAAGATAAATATTTCAATATTCTGCCCAAGACAGAATGAGAGACAATGAAGCACTTATCCAAAACAGACCTGGCTTCGAAACAGAGGCAGAATGCCTGAATCAGGAAGCCTTGCTATAGAAAAGTCTGCCTTTTAAAAGCTTCTCACACGCGCTAAAAATTGAATGAGAGAACGGGCAGATAGATATGTGGACATTAGTGTTCCAAGCAGGCTATGCCACTGTCTCAAGACAGACGTTTCTTTCTATCAAGGGCAATGCAGCATCACAATATGGGTGCAATTGCAGAAAAGTAGCCCATCAGCTTTAAACTGCACTCTCTTCTCAGGTACAAAACTGAACAATAGTTTAAAAATTGACCTCTGCAAAACAATTGTGTGCAAAAGGTCATTTATGAACACCACTGCTTCGCAAAATGATGAAATTAGATACTCTCTCAGTTCTGCATCCATGATGCGCTCCCTCTCTCTCTCTTTCTCTATCCAGAAATGAAACATGTAGCACAATCAATTCTCTGCATGTTTACAAAAAAAAAAAGCAAGTTCCACTGTATCCGTGGGGTTTACTTTGTGTTAAGTGTTTTTAGGATTACAGCCTAAAGCTCTCAAAATGTAATGATAATGACTTACTTGTCTTATTTGAAAATGAGCATTAAAATTAACTTTACAGCCTAATTGCACATTAAATATCACACTGACATCATCACATGCAAGTGATCTATAGCCTCAGAATCAAACACAACTCTGTGTTTCAATGAGACTTACTTTTAAAAAGCATGCTTTGAGACTTTGCTGTCAGTTCCTTCCATTTGGATGAGTTTAGGCACAGATTTTACTTTTATCTCCTGGGTATGGATCATATAGGCAGCATGAACATTACAGCAGCATTGCAGCTACAGAGTGTGATCACTTTCCTTTCGGAAATTAATTTTTAAAGAAAAATTCACTTGCCATGAGCCTTGTGGAGAAGAACAGAACCATTTAACAACCTTCCTCTTAACAAGCTGCAGTCTTCTGAGGTAAAACAAAACAAAACAAAGCCCCACAGGGAATAAATGTTAATAATCTGGGTTCATTTGCAGCAAGAACCATGGATTTTCAAAACAACTTTTAATGAGAGATAAGAGAGCAAAGGAAGTGTCGCCGTCAAAATCTGTGATAAAACCATGTGGGGAAATGATAGATACTGACAGACAGACAGACAGACAGACAGACAGACAGACAAATAGACTGAAAGACATATAGACACAAATAGACAGATAGATAACCCATCTGTGCAAATGGGTCTGTTTCCTAATTGTCTTCAACAACACTATTAATTATTTAAGCAACTATGTGATGCTTTTGCAGAGTTTTTACATGCCGCATAAATAATAGGCAGGTCTCTTCCCACAAGGCGCTTACAATCTAAATTAGGCTATGGGAAAGGCAACAGAGGTGGAAAAGAATGATGGATGGATGGATGGATGAATGAATGAATGTGTTCCTGAACAAATGCAGATGTGTTGCATTTGGAAACAAGGACAAACTTGCTTTCTTCCCCAACGAGAATGTGAAAGTGGATGGCATGTAGACCACTATCTGCCAAGATACAAGTGCCTATCTATATCTGTATCTGCTGTTTAAAACGCCTACTTATTTGGCTCATGTGTTTATTCTGTTGCTTGTTTTGTAAACCTCTTTGAGGCCCTTTATAGTGAAAAGGGGCCTACAGAAAAAAGAGGGAGCTATATATAATATATATAAACGTATAAATATAGAAATAAAGCCTTTCCCTATTTTTCTCTCTGCACATGGATTCAGAAAAAGGTATCTTCCCATGTCAAGCAAGCAATATGCAAATAGGTCGGGGCCATCTTGACCCGCAGCTTACACCTGTACCAACAACAACGCTGGCGCAATTTCTCTTACCTTAATGAACTTACATCTTTAATTTCACAGCTTGGCCCCTTTTGCGCTTGGCCTGCTAAACAAAGACGCCGAACTGTTTCCAGTCCGTAGGCGCCACCCTCCCCTCCAAACAGCTGTGGAAACTTTAAACCATGACAAGGATTTTTGCCCCTTGTGAAACTGTCAAAAGCAATAAATATTTTTCTTTTGCCCCCCATCATTAGACACTCTTAAGAATGCCTCCTCCATTGTCCACTGTAATTCCCAGCGCTCACTGGCCAGAAGCTTTATTGTCTAAAACGAATCTTGAAGTGTGAACAATACCGTAGGGGGGGGGGGTTGATGGTAGAAGGACCTACACTTTTTCCCCCTCTCCCTCTCTCTCCCTCTCTCAATCTCTCTCTCTTTTTTTCTGTAGAGGGTGTAACCGTTAGGAATGTGGTGCTTCTCCATAGACAGCTTTGCCAAAAGAGCACTTGTGTTTTTTAACACTGGTCTTTCAGAAAGACGCTCAAGTTAAAGCATTGTGCCCCACTGTAAATAGATGCACTCACTAGAATAGGCCTTCTTCACTCCTAATTAGGGAAGTAACTCTAGAAAGACAGAATGTCACTTGCAAGACTGGAGTCTTTGTTGGGTTTGTGTGCGTCCCCACTATGTGAGGTAATTGGAGTTGTACCTTTTAGAAAGCTGCTAATTTCGCATAGGAAGTGCTAACAAGACCTTTGTGTAGCCTGTTTTCCTTCTTCCTTTTTAAGGAAGTTACAGACCTTGAGTACTGGGGGGGGATTGGCTGGGCCAAGGCCCGGCGAAGGAAGCCGCAGTAATGAACCACTTCAGCTTGCAGTTAGGAAAAGGAGGCCTAATTTTCAGGCCTGAGAATACTGGGCTTGACAAAAGGTTCTGTTTAAGCTTATTATACGGGACATTCTTACGGCCTATACAGCTTCCCTTTGCAATGACCCTCTCAAAATAAGTGCATCAAGTTTGTGCAAATAGAAACATGCAACTTTCCAGGTTTACGGTATAGTTTTCTTTACAAAGCCATTTGTAATATAATGCAAGCTGCAATTAGCATGGACCGGAGCAACAAGATCCAGCCAGAAAAGTTCCTTTAACAAAAGGCAGAGAATTAAGTAACAGTTAAATATTAGCTGGCCTGTCAAACCATATGCCACTATATATAACAAAATTAAATCATTTCACATCCTCCGATTAGGCGGATGCTTTTAAGTTCCCGATTTATTAATTCTGCCAATTTTAAATTATTCAAGCAGGGCGGGGGGCACCTGGTTTTAAAACAAACAAACACTCCACCTTGCATTCGGCTTTTATAGCTGTCGATGTCATCAAAATGCCGACTAGAACTACATGTAAAACATCCAGATGCAATGAAATGAATTTCATTGCAGGGATGAAAAATAGTTTCACCAAAGATTTTTTTTCCCTCTCCCCATGCTTGAAATATAGAAGTTATAAAAAGAACTAACTGCAAAGAATGATAAAGTGACCTTTTCAGATCAGGGGCTAAAATGAAAAGTCTTCTGGTAAGAAAAGGGAGGGAAATTCCATTGCTCATAATAGCTTTTAATGCTTTTTTCCTACACACTGTCTATCCGATAATAATGGCAAGGTTAGGGTAAACAATGAAGACTATGTTTGCACATATTCCACTTTTGGCATTCTCCATATAAATTTTCTGAAACACTTAAAGAGAATAGATACATAAACCTGTGACCTTCAAATGAGCTTTTTGATATTGTCGACACTTTGGATTATGAAAAAAAAGAGGTCACAAAATTGAGCCATTTTTGCATCGTAATGAATTCCATTCTGTTGGGTAAACAAAGCTAAATTTTAAAACAGGGGCCTGACATCTGTCTGGCTCAATATGCTTTCCTATTCTTCAGAGAGGGGAGGGAAAGTGAAATGTAAGTTCTTCATGCAGGTTGTAAATGATTATATATACATAAAAAATAACAATCCAGGAAAACACACAAGGAGGACATTTGGTCCAATTCAGTATTTTCCAGACAAAGGCAACCAGAAAATGTTCCATTTTATGGCTTTATTTTTCAAAAATAAAATAAAACAGCTTACAAACAACAGTCCTGCAATACAATAGAGGGGCCAATGCTACCATTATGGCGCTAACTCTTATTGACAAGAGCTATGAGGGCCTCCAAAAGTTACTCCTATTTCCGCCGTGCCTTTGTCCGTCTGTTGTCCTCTCTCAAAAGCTCAGTTTGGTATTGTTGCAAAAAAGAAGGGGGGGGACCCCAACCACCACAAAAAAACCCTCTGCACCCACATTTATTTCCACCATCCCACCCCCCACCCCTCCCTTCTAATTCATACTCCGCATTGTGAAGTTTTGCCATTCAGGAATTGATTGGACAACAGCAAATGAGAATGGCCAAGTGATTAGTCTCCCGGCAGGGGCCAGGATTGTGGGTATAAACCTGGGGCTACGGCTTCAGTTCTATGTGGCATTCAGCTCGGCTTCCTCCTCCCCGTCCCTCTCTGGTTCCTGATCGCTCATGCATCCTTTGCTGCAGGTAGCACATTCCTTCATACCAGGAAACTGAATCCTTATAATTAGCCGGCACAGTAGTGTCCACTCCCTACTTGAAAGTCGAAGGGCTGGTGGCCCTGGAAGCAATCTCACTTTGGTATTTATGAGAGCGAGGCGGGTGGGGTAGCGCCGAATCCTCCCCAGCCTGCTTCTTAATACATTTTTTTAAGAAGAGAGATTGATTTGAGAGCAGTTGCAAGGGGGGAACGGACCCAAAAATCTTTTCATACAGTCCTCTTGAAAGTTACCACGGCGTGGATTGCTGAGGTTATATTCAGCCAAGTCCTGCTTTAGAGTAGACTCGCTGAATAAAAAGAAACCATATTCACTAACATCAATGGGTCTACTCCAGGCTGGACTAGCATTGAAAACCACCCATTGGTGTTGCGATCGAATTTAGCTGGGAACCCCTAAAACAGCCCGGTAAGGACGAAGTGTGCTTAGTGACTGTGGAATGCTGACTGGCTGCAGAGAGAAGAAGAAGAGGACCGCCTCTTTCCTTAGGAATCTACCTGGACCCTGAGATCATCTTCTGAGGCCCTTCTTCATGTGCCTCCTCCACGAAAGGTCCAGAGGGTAGCAACACAAGAATGGGCCTTCTCTGCAGTGGCTCCCCGTCTGTGGAATGCTCTCCCCAAGGAAGTTCGCCTGGCGCCTTCATTATACACCTTTGGGCACCAAGCAAAAATGTTCCTCTTTAACCAGGCCTTGGGTTGATTGACATCCAATGCCCTTTTAAAATGTGTTGGGGGAGGGGGTTGTTTTTGTTTTTGTTTTGATTATGTATTTTGTGTTTTTATATTCTGATTTTATGTTGTAACCGCCCTGAGACCTGTGGGTATAGGGTTGTATACAAATTTTAATAATAATAATAATAATAATAATAATAATAATAATAATAATACCAGGACAGAGAATGAATGGTGTGTTTAAACAGTAAGCAACCCACACTGCAGCACTGTGCTGCTGATCCAACATGTATTACATTTATTATATATTTTTTGCCTTGCCATTCCCCCAAGGAACTCTGGCTGGTGTAATGGTTCTTTTTCTCTCCCTTACAATCTTCACAACAGCTGCCTGAGGTAGGCAAAGCTGAAAAACAACAACGACTAGACCAAAGTCGTCCAGTGAACTTCATGCCTTGAGTGGTGAGATTGACACAAACCTCCCTGATCCTACTCTGGGGCTCTAACCACTATACCATGTTGTGTTCTGTTTCTTAGTCACACCAGCATATGATTAATTATTTGAAACTGGTTTTATTAAAAATACTTGTTCACCCATTACACTCAACGTAAGTACAAGTCGTCTCCACGCATGTGCAAGTGTATAGTGTGAAAAAGTGTACTCCTGCTGATTTATATAGCTCAACTGGTTTGTACACTAACTGACTGCTCATTTAATCTAATGTGATGACGACCCTACAGTTACTTTATATAGAAATGCTCATCCATCACTCACTCATGGGTGGGATATCAAAACAATTAGTATCCTTCTTGATAAACTAGAGCTCTGATGTTGTCAGGGTCTGTGGGATCTATCTGAGACTGCACCGAGTAGTGAATCCAGTGCTTTTTTTTCCGGGGGAACACAGGTGTATGCATACCCCTAAACATTTTAAGTTTGGCCTCATTGAGGGTCTTCAATGAGTATTTCAATGAGATGTACCCCTAAATATTTTTTTAGAAAAAAAAAGCACTGGGTGAATCACTTCACTTGCAAGAACCTTTAGGCTCATAACCGACTACCATACCCATGGTGGCTCATGGGATCTTCCTGGGCAGGAAGGAATATAAGGACTTCCTGTTTCACTTGCTTGACCTTACCAGTGTGTTATTGTACCCTTGGATATTCGTTGGTTCTGCCTCCTGTTTTATCTTCCGGTTTATGAATTGCTGCACAGTTCTGACTCCTGACTTGCCCTTTGGCATAAGTAAATATGGAGTATAAGAAAAACACATTTGCACAAAAATACATGCAATTTGTAAAAGGCAACACCGGAAGCAAATCCCAATAACAGCAGCAGAAAGCGCCGGCAGCACAACTTAAAGCGAACAACATCACCATAGTCCATCGAAAGCCCAGAGCGGGGGAGGTATATTTTTACCTGACACCAAAAAGATGTCAGTACAGGTACCAGGTGGACCTCACCTGGGAGAGCATTCCACAAATGGGCAAGGGAGTAGCCAGGATTTTTTGTTAGGGAGGCAGAACCTAAGTTAGTTAAGTATTTTTATTGATTTTTATTGATTTGGGGGGCAGCTGCCCCCCCCCGCCCCTCTGGCTATGCCCATGCAAATAGGGAGCCACAACTGAAAAGGCCCTCTTCCTAGGCTCCTTTTTGCATTACAAATCAGTGCAACAAAGGAGCTGGGGGTATTTGTGGTGGCTTGCCTTTGAATACCAGCCCGGCAATGAAATCCCATTTCAGCCACTTCAGGACAAATACCTGTTTCCACTGCAGCAACCATAACAGCACATGGGATCGGGCAGGTGTCCATTGGACTTACTGCATCTCTTGGAAAAAGCATTAATTCCAATGCTTTCGTAGATCTGAGCAAAGGATGACTTTCCCCAACCCTTCTTATACCTCACTCTTACTTTATGTGTAATAAAGCAGAGCTTTGGAAGTTGTTAAGTGTACAGATGTCAGTCTAAGCGTTTTACATGTCACCAGCCTGAATTCATTTACATTTATTTTCCTATTGTTTTATA